CTAGCTGACGTGAGGAATCTTAAATGCACCGCCGGCCGTGAACCTATTGGGCACCCTAGGAAAGGGTCGGGTGCACGAGACCGAATGAAGACATGATGTACTGAAGTTTTGTGACGGGCTGGCTAATGCATCCTGATGCCCAACGCTGCTGACATGCGTCGTCAACAACGAATATTGTCGTTCATGTATGGGTCTTGACAGGTATCAGGGTTTAACCAAGGACATCTAGGGGGACTCACTGGCCGAAATCTCGGCAATTTACCGAGGAGCATCTGTTGATGACAGACAAGGGTCCTTTTGTATGGCCTGTAAGACCCTTCTGCAATGTTACATGCTTTGTTCAGCGTCCAAGATATGCATTAAATATTTCAAGCTAGGAAGTAGTACAACTTCCGCCCAGCTTCATTGTGACCCAAACCTCAGCCATGCTGACATGGACGGCCAACACTCAGCATTGGCAAATCTTCGCCCAATAGACTACAAGCTTTATTTGTACAGTATTACCGTTGAGCATATCCTCGATCCGTCATTCTCCATATTCCTCTTACTGCAGTCAAGGTGCTGTAACCTGATACTCAAGTTAAAGTAGCTAGTACTCTCTCAGGTCTGGGTCCTATGCTATGGCCCCTACGATTTGACAAATTAGTTTATAGACGCGGTCGAATGAGGCCACAAAGGGGTAGCTCTCATCCGGACATGCGAGTGTGTGGATCACACGGTCTTGTTGGGTGCGAGCTTGGGGGAAACTGTGCTAAAAAGCACCAGTTGGTTGTTTGGCTCAGTTGGCAAGCATATATATAATTGGACAGTCTCTACATATGTAGTTCTTTGGAAGCACCCGAACATTGAATCTCTATCCGGACGCAGCCCCCACCATTCAGCCACACCGAAGCCACTAAGCCTCCGATTTCGCGACTGCATGTGGGGATAATTGAATATTCCCACTGTTGCGATTACAGAGTGCGTCCAGATGGAGAGTAGCGGCACTTCAGAACCTGCATTTTTGTAACTGCAGCAGGCTGCTTCCTTGGGTGGATTCATTCATGGAGCGGCTGACACTTAGCGTGCACTGATAAATATCAGTACCTTCTTGACGTTGCTGTTCCATCCAACAATCCACCGTTGCGGCGACTGCGTGAGCCGATATTGCCGCAGCACAAAACCATCGTAATCGTCTTGCTTTTTGACGTCATGTTCGCCACATTCAAATACAATGACACCACTCAAGATCATGAGTACATTAGCCGCTCCGATACTCCATCATCTGCCAGTAACAAGGAATATACCCGCACAGCTTGCGATTTATGTCGCGCGAGAAAGGCAAGTTCTGACCCTGTGTGCTACCAGCGTCTCACCCTGGGCGCCTCGCTTGTACGCCAGTATTGACCTGTCTACTCACAGTTAAAATGTAGCGGTAGTAAAGAAGGGTGTGATAGATGTCTCTCAACATCTAGCACCTGTACATACACTTTTAGCTCTGGTGTCGGCCCGGGAAAAAAGCGGCTTCGCAAAGTTTCGAGTCCGATTCCGACCTTCAACGCTCCCCTGCCCCAAAAGCCGCCGCCCTCGCCATCTCCATCGTTGCATCGCGGGTCGCGTCCTAGCTCCTCTACGGCTCACGCGGATGGTTATCAAAGCCGTGGCTCGCCGGGACCAAGGAGCAACAAGGGTGCTCGAATGCGGTACTCTCCAGGCACCGTAAACACAGCAGGACGCCATGGTCGACCGAACCAAGCTGACCTCTTTGACTCCCCTCAGCCGTGGCTGAATTTAGACATGGAAATGGAGACTCAGACTGACGCCCCGTCAGATGGAGATGACTTCTTAACGGGAGATGGGTTTAGCCTCTGCCCAGCCAAGCACACGAGCGCCGTTGCCCAGCCGCCATTGGCAGACAGCAGCGAAGACACGGCGCAGCTTGAACTCGCAGGCAGGCATTCATCGGCGTTGGTAGACATTATCGAGTTTTTCGACTTGGCTCGCTCCGCCAAAGACCAAGAAGATTCCATAACGAATCAGGAACGGCCACATGCTAGCGACAGGTTTTTGCCAGGCGGGACGGCGGCTTCTGCTGCATCGTCTGCGTCTCCCGCTCGCCGAGCAACTCAATCCCCGTCTCAGTATTACCCTTCATTTTCTTCATCTGCAACCAACCTATCCAAGCCATGTGGCTGCTTGTCATCCATGTTACAAACCCTGGAGGAACTTGGGACTCAGACCGGCGCCAACGCAACCGTCGCAACATCCGACACCCTGTTTCTCTACCTCGAGCAGGGTATTGACAAGTGCAGCACAATGCTCTCTTGCGTTACCTGCGACACAAACGTCTCCAATCCCATACTTGTTGTTACCATCGCGAATCAGCTGGCCGCAGTCCTAACGGAGCTGGTTCATCGCTTTATTCAATGCCAGTCCAGGGATACAGTCCCCACCGTATTTCAGTTCGGCAGATATAGCGTCAAACAAACGACTATGCGCACTCGACTGTTAAAGAGCATGATAGAATTACACGTCAAAGATCTCAACCAGCTGGTTGCTCGCCTACAAGACTCCATGGCGGGCAAGCCAGGTCTTCTGTTGGATGACGCCAAGAATAAAGTACAAGAGATGCAACAGTCATTACTTGCGTTTAGTGGGAATGCGAATACCGAAAGTAGGACTTGAGGCTTTGGAGTCGTGTGAATCATGGAAAATATACCGCAATATTACCATGTATTATCTAGCTTACTGATTGGTTTGCGGCATTAATCAGGCTGTTTATGACCCCAAAATGATGCTGCTTCTCTCCATGGTGTGAAGTGGCAGAGCGATATCCCACTCAACACGTCAATTCCTCTCCGTTGCGGCGAAAGTCGCCAGAAATCACACATCCGCGATCCGTGACGCCTCATTAACAGAAGACCTTTTCTCGCTTCATGGCTAAGCTGCTCAAGAAAGCTACTGCACCAGATACAAAAACCGGCACAAACGCATCCTGAATGGCCGTTGCGATTGCATGTACCGCCGCTGCCGCCAGCTCAGGGCTCGATGAACTAAGCAGGTCACTTCCGACACCCGCCACAGCGGATGAGATTTGTTGCACGGTAGCGTTGGGGAAGAGTTTTTCCAGACCTTGCTGTGCTATATTTACAAAGACTGCTCCCGAGATGCCTGTGCCCAATGCAATGCCGAGCATTTGACTGACGGTCATGAAGCCAACGCTGTAAGCAATGTCCTTGGGCGCAACCTGCATCTGGGCCACTGGGAAGCCGGCCTGGCAGTAGCAGCCAACACCGACTCCGAGCAGGATGGTGTAACCATACACTCTGGCGTTACTAGTTTGCTCATCTGCAGTATCTGGAAATTTGAGCACATCTTTGGTTAGCCAACTCGCTCTCAGTTGGTTGAATGAAACAGGGGTTGGCTTCTCGACTTACATAGTAAAGCACCGCCAATGGTTTGGAGCGCGGTTCCGAAGAGATACCATGGATAATAATACCCCGTCTTGGACATGAAGTGACCGTTGATAAGCACACTTGCTGAGAGAAAGAGAATAAGCGGGAGAATGTGGACGGAAGTTTGCAGGGCTGTAGCGCCCCGAGTGAATTGGAAATAGAGTGGTAGATAATAGATGCTAATAAAGCAGCCAAAGGCGGCAAACACTGCCAGGAGTCAGTAAATCGGTCAAAACCGTGTCACCCAAAACGAGCAACAAGGCAAGCAAACATACTCATTGTGGCGAATAGAAGAACCATTGTGTAGTTCCCGAAGAAATGTATAGGGAAGATTCGGTGCTCCATGGTTGTTTTCATAGTGTAGACCTGTTGAAGGCAGAATGCAACAAAAAGTACGCCAGATAGCACAAAGAGTGCGATACCACGGCCATCGCTCCACTGCCACAACACGCCGCCAAAATTCATTGCCATCATGATGCATAAGAATGTTGCCGAGGACAGCACGGCGCCAATATAGTCCAACATGGCCAAGCGAATGCGGAGCGGAATGTTGCCAAGTGGATGGTAGTCCGGCAGTACGATAAAGTATATCGGAGCCACAACACCTCCGACACACGGGTTGAGGTAGAACGCCCATCGCCAGGTGGCTGGGCTCTGGGCAAATGCGCCTCCAACTACGGGGCCCAGGACAGTCCCAATTCCCCACCAAAATCCAGTAAGGCTGAGATATCTCGGCCGTTCAACATCGCTCGTGCTGACAGAAAGGATCGTCAAAAGGCCCATGTACATGCCTGTTCCTCCGATGCCGGCAAGGGCTCTGCCCACGATAAAGGCATTGATATTGGGGGCACCACCGCACAGTGCTGAAGCACCCATAAATAGGGCGGTGGCTCCGAGAAAAAGCTTCTTGGCGGAGAATACACCGAATGCTTTGGACCATACAAGCGTGCTAGCGGCTGAGGCGAGGGCGAAGGAGACACCCAGCCAAGGGACGAGGTCCACATGACCAAAGGTGTTGACGATGGCGGGCTGGATGTTGGCGACGATGGTTGTGTCAAGAGCGTAGAGGAGAAACGAGGCTAAAAGGGAAACGACGACAAGAAACCACTGCAGTGAGAGCCGGTATTAGCAAGCTTTTTGTACTCTTTGTGTCGCAACCGACCTTCAGGTACACCAAGATCAGTCGGAACCGGTGCCTCGAATCTGATATTTCTTACCTTGATCCCATGGACAGACCGAGGTGGCGGCTCCTCTGGTGACTTTTCTGAACTTGGCTCTTGTGGTGGGCTGACTGTACTGTCGCTTGGTAAACGTCCATCTGGTGTTTTTTTGCCATTTTCCGAAGCACCTGTGTCCGCCACGACAGATGTGTCCAAGTGGTTGCTCATGCTGCAGAATATCGTTTTCGTAGCTTCCCAGATCGGAGTTGTCCCTGAAAATCTTTAATCTCGGTCCGATTTGTTGAAAAGGACGGTTTTCTGGACAGTTTCTTTGAGCCCTTGCTCTTATACGGAACCAAAAGACAGATTGTAATATGTCACAGCTTGGTAATCTTTATGCCTACGAAAGAATTGGAAATCCAACTTTCGAGGACACCGAATTTGTCAGTAAGTTTGTCATGCTGGCGAAATTTTGTTTCCCCGTCTCTGGTCGCAGTGAAATTAAACAACCAAGGTCGACGTTGGACCGGACGAAATTTGAGGCCGATTGAGGTTCTGCACGCTTATCAATAGCGTGGCGATTGGGCGGCTTCATTTAATGTGGGACCAGGAAGCTCGGAGGCATGCCTAATTTGGCCACTGCCTGAATGGGAAATGTCCCGATGAGGACAAGCGCCGACCGCCCGGATAGATCTTGTCTTCGGCGCCGATGCACCACAACCTAATTAAGTTGGCCATTGTCAATAAATATAAGCCCAATCGGACGTTGTACGTCTCTAGCAGAATTTTGTAGTCATCATGTATTAATAATGCGAGCTTCAGAATTGCGGATCATCCAGTGACTGTCTCCGGTATAGGGTATGGGCTCAAGTTGAATTGAGAGAACTAAAAGGCAGACGTCGCAACGGTGAAATCAACAAATCTAGCGTAGTTCATAAACTATATTTGTTGGAAGCTAGAAGTAGGCGTCAAAACTTCATAGGCTGTTATTGCATGCACTATATCTAGGGCAGCGCGAGGACAGATCAGGCTGCACGAGAAACATGCCGATTCATCTAATCTACGGAGTACTCCCTTGTGGCTGAAGGTCTACCTGATTCGCGAATCATATCAAGCCCCTGTCGGCAACTTTGCCGGCCAACTAGTCCTCTTGCGGGCTCTTGCATAGCAGTTCAACGGCCGAATGACAAGGAACTCGGGATCATACTGCATCGGTTCTTTACTAGCGTCGGTAAAATGATACCGATACACCAGATTTGCAAGTGCCAATTTTGCCTCCAATTTTGCAACATTGAGGCCCACACAGCCTCGGGGCCCAGCGGCAAATGGTGTAAATGCAACTATTTGCTTGTGGTCCAAAATAGCTGAGCTGCGTAAGGCAATCTACCATAGAGATGTTGGAGTAGGCCCAAGATCTAAGAATGGAGTCAGGGACGTAGTATCCGGCAATCTGACCCATGAGGATTGACGTAATATATATTATCCTAGAAAGGATATGACCCCAGAAAGCAAAAACCAAGACCTTAAGAGCTCTTGGTATGTCCGGCTTGGTACAGGGGCCTAATTGGGCGAGTGCCATGTTGGTCAGTCGTCCGACTTCCACACCCCCCGGTCTTTTTCAGCGCTTATAAGACATTGCTTCCTGACTGGGCATTAGCCCGAGCTCTTGGACGCGAATCGAGCAATGGCTCATTGTCGTTTTTAGTACTCGACAGTTGAAAGATTAAGCCAAAGTTGAATCGATCTGGGTAACATCAAACGCCGGCATGGAGTCTAAAGAAAACCTTAGCAGAGTACACATTGGAAGATGTTGCGCAGCACAACACTGTAGACAATTTGTGGGTAGTAATTCACGGGAAAGGTGAGTAAACGCTTTTTACAACCGAGCACAAGCAGGGAAGCCGAAGAAACTAGACTGACATGACGATAATGTCGAAGTCTACAATGTCTCGGGGTATTTGGACGACCATCCTGGTGGAAAAGATGTGATGCTCGAGGTGGCAGGTACCGATGCCACAGGAGCCTTCGAGTTTGTCGGTCACTCTGAAGACGCCTTTAAAACCCTCGTCAAGTTTGAAACTGGTTCTCTGGCGGAATATGTAAGTATCGCGGCGTCTTCTTGGTACTTTTAATTAGTTTTGTGGACAACTACCTAACCGAAAACACGCAGTCAGTTTGTGAAAAGAGGACAATGCGCAAGAAAATCTTGTCAGACGAGTTTGAGAATGAAGGGCTACCATTCTTCAAGGTGGCGTGGCACAGGACACAGCTTCTTGAAACGAAGCTAGAACTCTGGAAACGGCTCGGCTTGGTCACCTTGGGCTTGACACTCATACCTGTCATGTATGTTAAAGTTCTCCCCCACTACATATTTCAATTGGGCAGTGGCTTGGACTTTGGAGGCTTTCAGTCTGGCGTTCTCGCAACTTTAATATTGTTCGGCGCTCTGGCAGCGGCAGCAAGCGCCTGGTTTCGCCGCTGTGTATTTCACTACAAAGATGTGTTTGAGTACCCGCCGTATTATTCTTTGCAGGCTCAATAGTTTAAGTAGACAGTGCGGGCTGCCCAATAAGGAAAACAGTGGACATGTGTGCATGCGAAAGCTTTCAATTGCTTATAATACGGTGTCTCGCCCACACAATTGTTCCAGCGTTACGTCGAGACTGGCACACCAAGCTTCATCACATGTTGGTCCGAAGCCTACCAACACTTCTTTACTGTCGATATTTGATGAGAAAGTAACATCATTTACCAACTATATTGCTCAGAAATGAGCTGGTATATGCATACATACTTTGTCGGATTGGCTGCGGTCGGTTATGACGCACTTTGGGGCTCCTTGGTTAAAAACGGCACGGCGACAGCTTTTGGTGCTGTAAAGGCTTCGGGTACGCTTCCAGACGGCAATCTGCTCCAGAAAGTTTACACCAAGATCCCATTTCTCGATCAATTTTTACTGTCGCCCGTGATTTTTTACGATGCGTTGCTTCGAGATAGAAACCCTGTGTACCGGTCGCTGCTCGTCAGCTTGTTTAGCACTATGCAGACGACCGCTTTCTGCACCATCGCTCATGGGTGGCTGGGTGGAAGCCCCAGGTTATGGTGGAACATTATGTAAGTGAGAGCTAATGTCTCAAATATACCAAGATTGACCAAATTCTAGAGAGTCTCTCCTTTGGGGTGTTTTCAACCAGAGCTACGGCGCTGCTTTCGTTTATCCGCTATACTGCTTTGCTCACTTGCATCAACTCAAAAACGAGGGCATTAAAGAGAAAAACATGAAGAAACTGTCTACAGAGGATGCTGAGGCGCTTTTATATACGAGCATAGTCGCGGCCGTGTTACCTGCCTGGTTAATCTACCCTGCGTTCGTCTCTTGCTCCAGCGAGACACGACAATTCTTAATAGCATCCTACCGAACAACTCCAACCATCCTCGCACTTGCGCAGCCAGTCATAGCTGTCCTGATCAAACGATGTCGCAGAATTCCTTTGGACGGAAGCTACATAGGTCCGCTTGTCAAAGGGTCGTTGTATCTGTCAGGGGCATGTTCCGCTTTGGGTCACTTGTACGCTTTGGCTACATCCTTGGCATTGGCACCAGTTACTCTGACTGGAATTTTCTGGCCGTGGACAACTAGTATGGATATCTCTAGCATTTCGGTCATTGCCCAAGGTTGCCACCTCTTCTTACAGAACGATTGGTGGGTTATCCTTGCTGCCTTTGTTCCGTATGCTTCCGCCATATTGAGCTCAGCAACCTGTAGCCGTATCCCAGGCAAGACCTTGTCAACTTTATCGTGGGCAGATACGCAGGTATGCCAGCTTGGAAAACTTTTGGCGGCCTTGCTGCTCTTGCTGTTGTGTTTTCACTCGGCGCAGTATTGGCTTGGACAATGGCGGCCAAGGTTTGAGATGACATCTCCACCCCGTTCTGAGATGGTTTGGCTCTCATCAACCCAGTTTTGCACATATTCAAAGCCTGCGAAGTAGAGTGGTTTAGCGAATCAAGAGTAAAATGACAGAAGATTGATCCATGATAACTAGATGCGGAAAGGCCACATCCATATCCAAGACAGGGGACAATGGAGTTGAGATGTTTTCATGTGACAAGTTTGGTGTTCGCGCCATAATGAAGCAAATATATAACTCTATCTATAATCTGGCCATTTAAGTAGGACTACCCTTGGTTTTGCCGCATCTTGAGACCCAACATGTTTAATTACACCAACACGAGGTTATAAAACTACAACAAGCCTCGAGTAGGTAGCCTTCGCAAGGCCACATGAAAGGTGGCCTGGTTGGCGCTTTCCGTAACAGCCTATTCAATAGCTTCCACCAGCCGGTCCACATCTGGTTTCTTCGAAGGTGCAGCATGCCCACCGCTGTGTTGATGCACACGCGCCATGGCTGGATCGCATAAGCCCATGACCAAGCGAGACTGTTCCATCATGGGCAAATCATCTTTCTTCCCGGTGAAATGTACCGTCGGGAGCTGGATGCGATGCGTTGTCAAAGCGGGATGCAACACGCGAGGCACTTTTTGCGGATCTCGGTGTTTAAAGAAGGCAATGTCATAGTCGGGCATAGTAGCTCCAATCTTTCGAGCCATCTTGAAGGTGGTGGCGAGGTACTCAGCGAATACACTGTCGGATACGGCCAGTTTCTTGGATATTTTATCAGGGAAATGGTGCACCGCTTCATAGTTCTGCTGAACCAAACGCTGGACGATTGGAAGACAGTGCAAATCATCCGGTGAAAATGCTGCCACGGATGAGAGGAAGATGGCAAATCCAAATGGAGGCGCCTTATCTGGATGCTGCGCCTGGTGGTCGAGAATATAGGAAGCTGCAACAGAAGCACCCTGGCTGAAGCCTATAACCCCGTCGAACGGGCCATCATCTTGGATGAAATCACTCAGATCATCCAGAGTATCACGGATTTCCGCTGGTGTATACCCCGTCGTGTAAGAATAGAACGGCCCGTTATAGTACGGCGCCATTCCTGGCCCTCTTTCTCGTCTAACTGCGCCATCAAGATAGACAAACTCGTAGTTCTGGCTCAGGGCTCTCACTACAGGAGTGAGCTGGTCTCGCAATATTTCCGCTGACGAACCAACGCCATGGAGTGCCAATATTCTTTTCATTTTGGTAAATGGAGTTGTGTACTGTAAGTGATGAGAGGTTCACGATAAAATTTTCATACTCACGGTTTTCCTAATAGCGCTACCCAACCTGTCTGTTGTTGCTACAAGACGACTCACAAACGGGCTTTCCCAGCGTTGCCTATCAAGAAATGGGTCAGCCTAATTTGGAATCTTCGCTCCCAAGAGAATTACCAGAAGGGTAATTTACGAAAATGTGACGCTGAATAAGTCCTAATTCGGATGTCACCTATTCTGATGACTGGAAGGATCTGGTTGCATGTGTATATGTACCCGCAAATTCCAAGATAGGCAGTGCTCCGATTGACACGACAAATGACAAGGCAAGTCGCGCAGCACATCCTTGGCTACCCGTTACGTACAATCATCCAAATCCAGTTTTTCGAGACATGGGCGAAACCATGTTGAAAGATGCACAGTGGCAAGAACGTTCCGGCCTACACCAGCATCAACAATCAATAGAATAGCTTCGTGAATCCCGATTCGGAAGCGTTGGATTTGGATTTGGCCAGTTTAGTGTAACTGTCGAACCTCTCATGGCCGTCTTGATGGATTTGACCATAAGTATTCACGCGTAGAAAGAAATACCTACAAATGTAAATCTTGGAATTTCACGTCTTTCAATGCCGCCATTGTTGTAATATACCTCACAGATTATTGCAGGACGACTCAACTACCGCCATGGTTCATCCAAGAATTGAGTGCAACGGCCACGGTGCTGTCCGTAACGATGAGTTTCTTGATGTGACGGTACAAGGGCACGA